GTTAATTCCTTGATACTTTTTAAAAATTTCCTGCTATTGTAAAATGATATTCTTTAGATTTTCGTAGGCTGACCTTGGTCTGGCAGCTTTGCTGACTCTCTTAATAGTTCAAAGAGAATTGAAAATGAGTCTAGGTATATATAATTTGCAAAGGAGTTTTTCCCCTCTTCTCTTCCAATCCTTACACATTATCCTACTTCTTCTTCTTCTCCTTCTTCTTCTTCTTCTTCTTCTCCTTCTCCTTCTCCTTCTCTAAGATTTTATTTATTTGACAGAGATCCCAAGTAGGCAGAGAGGCAGGCAGAGAGAGAGAGGGAGAAGCAAGCTCCCCGCCGAGCAGAGAGCCCAATGTGGGGCTTGATCCTAGGACCCTGAGGCCATGACCTGAGCCGAAGGCAGAGGCTTTAACCCACTGAGCCACCCAGGTGCCCCCGGTTAGCTATTTTTAACAGTGAATATATATTCATAAACAAATGAACCTCACTTTTTCTTCATTTTCATCTGGTTTTGGAATTAAGGTTGTATTAAACTTAAAATTCTATTTTGTCAAGGGATGCCTGGGTGGCTCAGTCGGTTAAGCATCTGCCTTTAGCTCAGGTCATGATCCAAGGGTCCTGGGATTGAGCCCCACGTCAGGCTCCCTGCTGAGCAGGAAGTCTGCTTCTCCCTCTGTCCCTGCTCCCACTCTTGTTCTCTCTCTCTCAAATAAATAAAATCTTTTTAAAAATTCCAGTTCCTCCCTGGTTTTTTGGTTCGTATTTGTCATATATATATATATATATATTTGGTAACAACTTCATTTTGGGTAAAATTCACATGTAATTCATTTACTCAAAGTGTACAATACAATGGTTTTTATTATATTCAGAGTTGTGCAACTATAATCACCATCAATTTGCATCACCCCCATACCCCCAAACATCCACAAACGCTCCCATTCCCCTCCCACCTCCCAGCCTTCGGTAACCACTGATACATGTTCTTTTGTTGTTCTTCTTCTTCTTTATAGACTTGACTATTCTGGACTTTTGATGTATACGGGATCATACAGGGTAGTCTTTGGTGGCTATTTTTATTTAGTATGTTTTCAAGATTCATCTGAGTTGTAGCATGAATTAGCACTTCCTTTCTTCTTATGGCTGAATAATATTCCATTGTTTGAATATACCATAATTTACCCCTCCAACAATTGATGATTATTTGATTGTTCCCACCTTTTGGCTATTATGAATAATGCCATTATGAGCACTCGTGTACAATTTTTTATATGGACTTAGGCTTTCAATTCTCTTCAGGATATACCTAATTTGGAACCACTGGGTCAAACTGTTTGAGGAATTGCCAGACTGTAGCTATGCTATTTTACATTCTTAACAGCAGAGCAGTGTATGAAACTTCCAATTTCCACATAAACTCACCAAGATTTTATTATTATTATTATTATTATAGCCATCCCAGTGTGTGTGAAGTGGTATCTCATCATGGCTTTGGTTTGCATTTTCCTGATGACTGATAACATTGAGCATCTTTTTTCTCTATCTTCTTTGGAGAAATGTCTATTCAGATCCTTGACCATCTCAAAAACTGCTTTCTCTTATTACTGAGTGGTAACATTTTTAAAAATATGTTTTTAGGGGCGCCTGGGTGGCTCAGTGGGTTAAAGCCTCTGCCTTCGGCTCAGGTCATGGCCTCAGGGTCCTAGGATCAAGCCCCACATTGGGCTCTCTGCTCGGCGGGGAGCTTGCTTCTCCCTCTCTCTCTCTGCCTGCCTCTCTGCCTACTTGGGATCTCTGTCAAATAAATAAATAAAATCTTTTTTAAAATGTTTTGAATGCAAGTTCTTATCTGATGTATTATTTGCAAATATTTTCTCCCATTCTGTGGGTTGGTATACCTCTCTTCATTCTTTAACTTTCTTTTAACTCTATGTCTTTAAGTGAATTTATTTATTTTTAATCTTAAAAACTTTTGAAATGATTTTTAATATGAGGGTCTCTTTCAATTTGTGAGTTTAAGGCACTTATTTCATTTTCCACATGATCAGAAGCAGTGACCAATGGTCACATTCCAATGGTCAAATTCACTTCTCTCCCTGAACATCTCCCTCCCTCATGTCCTCTTGCTCCAACCTGGACTGAATACTGTGGGCCTGCTGCAAAGCTGTTATCCTGCCACTATGTTGGGTTGGTGCCCTGATTCACGGTATCTCTTGTCTTCCTTGATTTACTCCTTTATTCTTTCTGGAGTACATCCTCCAGTATCCTTTTTCAAAAGCTAAACAGAAGGTAAAGTTTTAAACCTCATATGTTAGGGCAATTTGATCTATAGAATTATAGGTGAGAAAAGCAATTATCTCCTGAAATCCAAATTGTTAAATTCCTAGTGGCCAATGAGTGTGGTTAGCAATGGATATTCTGTTAGGGAAATAAATCTAGTTCCTCAGTTTCAGAAGGCAAGTGAGAAATATTCGCTTAGCAAGGGATGTCTCAAAAAAATTTACTGCCATTTGCTTCATGAGTTTGGAGAGCACAAGTTCAGATAGCAGGAAATTGTCCTCAGAAGTTGGAACTTTGATTCACCATCTTGTGTCATCCAGATTTGCTAATGAAGAGTCTAATTCACAGGTTTTCCTTGTACCTAAGTGATTGCTTCCCCCCTCCCTTTCCTTGGAAATTTTTAAAATTTTCTCTTTGTTCTTGGAGTTCTGACACTTCACAGTGCTATACCGTGGTGTGGATCTTTTTCATTATACTTGACACTCTGTTGAGCCTTTCGATCTGAAGACTGAAGTTCTGGGTATAGCGTCTAATGTTATTTCATTTTAATAATCCCTTCAACCTCCTTTACATTTTTTTGCACATTGTAAAAACTGATAATCTGATATTAGACCCTTATTTTATCTTCTGTGCCTTTAATCTTTTCTTTTACTTTCTCTCTCTTTGAGGTCTACTTTCAAAGGTATTTGCTTACCTACATCTTCTAACTCTTAATTACTTTTTTTGGCGGGGAGGGAGAGGGAGAGAGAGAAGGACAGAAGGGGCAGAAGGAGAAGGAGAGAAAGAACGCTCAGCATGGAGCCTGACACAGGGCTTGATCTCACACCTCTGAGATCATGGCCCTAGTCACAATCAAGCATCTGACATCCAACCTACCCACCCACCCAGGTGCCCTCTATTAATTACTTTTAAAGTTTAAACATTTTTGAAAGTTTTACTGTTTTGATAACTGTTTCATTTCCTGTGTTGTTTTATAAATGCAGTGTCTCCAAGTCTTTTTATACAGCTTTTCTACTTACATAGTCAGCATTATCTCATATCCTAAGTATCTTAAAAACATGGTTTTTCATTTTTACATAGTGCTCCATCAAAAGATCAAAATGTACCAAAGATTTTAAGCAGCATGAGGCATTATCAAATCTGTGTTTCCTATGTTCAGCCTAGAAATAGTGGGAAGAATGAATTGGAGCAGATTAGAAAAAAGGGTCTGTAATCTAGGAGAAATGATGAAACTCTTATCTAAGGCAGTAGTGGGGGGGGGTGCGGTAAATGCAGAAGAACAGCAGACAGATTCTGGGAGGTGGAGTGGCACAGGTCTTGGTGATTGACTAAGAGAAAAGAAAAAAGTTCAGAATTAACCTCAGGTTTATGATTTGAACAAAAGCAAGAACAGGTGAATTTTTTCAAATAAGAATTATGTATTTTGAGGGGCACTTACTTGGGTGGCTCAGTTGGTTAAGCCTCTAACTGGATTTTGGCTTAGGTCATGATCTCAGGGTCATGAGATCAAGCCCTGCCTCAGGGTCCCCGCTCAGCATTAAGTCTGTAGAGATTTTCTCCTTTCCCTTCTACTCCTACTGTTCATGCTCTCACTCTAAAATAAACAAATCTTAAAAAAAAAAAAAAGAATTATTTATTTTGAAGATGCTTAACAGTGATTTAACTATTGTTGCCTCTCAAGTGAGTAAAGCTAGATCAAACCTACACGGACGTTGCACTGTGTGGCACGATAGGATTTTCCCCTAGTGCTATGGTCTCAGTGATAAGTCATTAACATTTAAAGAGAAATGTACAAGGTTCTAAAATAATGTTTGTATTTTTCATGAGAATATTTTTAGTTCGAAAGATAAAAACATTTTAAAACATCTTTATAAATATTCTTATCTACAAAGATATTTTTATTTGTAATTAATCATAAGAAAACATACCAAACCTTTAGAGTGACCAAGTTTTTAAAAAATTAGCTTATTTGTTTATTTGAGAGAGAGAAAGAGAGCACATGCATGAGTTAGGGAGAAGCAGAAGGAGAGGGATAAGCAGATGCTCCTCTGAGCACAGAGCATTGTGGAGCTCAGTCTCATAACCCTGAGATCATAGCATGATACAAAATCGAGAGTCAGATGCTTAATCAACTGAGCCACCAGACACCCCAAGTGACCAACTTTTTAATTAAGATTCTTTGGAAAAATATTTAACAGTAAGGATGAAAAAACTGGCAGTAAACAAAAATTCAAGTTCAAAATTATGGCATCGTCCTTTCCCAGCAGCACCTCCTGCATGGCCCCTACTCCCCATGGGCACTTAAGTTTAAAATTATGGATGAAACACTATGAAAGAAAATATTATCACAAGATAGTAGAATATTTTGAAATAAAAAGTCATTCTGCTATATAAATACTTTCATTTTTTTGTATATTCCCTTTGAGTCTCAAAATAAGTTCTGCAAGATAATTTCCTTTTCATCAGTGAAATATCTGTTTACCATTTAACTATTTAAAGATATAGATGCAAATAGGGGTGCCAGGGTGGCTCAGTCAGTTAAGCGTCTGACTCTTGATCTCAGCTCAGGGCACGATCTCAGGGTCGTGAGTTCAAGCCTTACACTGGGCTCCATACTCCGAGTGGAGCCTACTAAAAAAAAAAAAAAAACCCCAAAACAAAAAACGATCTATCCAGATAGATGCAAATATATACTAAATATCTTTTTTTAAATAGATGCAAATCATTTTATTAAAAAAAAAAAAACCCTTAGTTCTACTTAGAATCATTAGAATATTTATATTTAAATACTCCAACTTAATTTATGTGTATTAAGCAAGTGGGAGCTCCTACAGAAAAGTCTGATTTGGTTTTATAAATAATGATGATTTAAAATGTAAAAAAAAACTAAACTTAAAAAACGTATCTCAAACCACCTGATTTTTTAAAGTCACACCAGCCATCTACTTCTAAAAAGTCCTTATCAAAGCTATTTCTTTAAACCCAACATTTACTAACTCAACAGATGGCTTTTAAAAATGAGGAATGTAATTTTACTTTCAACTCACTGATTATATACTCAACTGGCAGCTTTAAAAAAAATAATTTTAGAATACATGTAAGACCTGAATTAAACCATTTTCAACATTTCTCCAGGACTGTTTGCTAACTGGCTTGTTTTTACATATGAGCTTTAAACATAGCTATCACAGGTAGTACACAAAAATAACTACTTGCAACTATAAAACCTCTCAAGTACACTCCCAACATAACATCACTGCTTCTTCCTTCTCTTGTAAGAATCATTACTGTGAACTCGTACTCGCTGGGACACAGAGGATGCTATTTTCATGCTGTCTTTCTTTGTAAATGTCTTCTCTATTGGTCCGGGTTTCCAAAGTAACAACTGTGCATCTTCTCCTCCGGTTAGCAAAGAATCATCCTGCATATTCCAAGAGAAAGAACGGACTGTAGCAGCATGCCCTCCGTGAAGGCTGGTCACATGGCTCAATCCTGATGTAGTGCAGCTCATTAAGTGAATAATTCCTGTGTTTGTTCCTCCAACAACAAACAATTTGTCCATTTTTTCATGATATAGGCCACCAATTAAATAGTCCAAAATACCTTCTTTCAGATTAACCACTTCTCTGACATCTTGGATGTTCAAACAAGTAATTGGTTCATCAGTATTCAGATGATTAAGATCCCACCAACAAAATCCTTCATCGTGTGTCATGCAGTAAATCTGTTTATAATCCTTTCCAGACCAACCAATACAGCTTACTGATGAAAGGGAGTTACAGGTTGTAATCAGTGCATCTTCTTCATTATCCACACTAATATCGAATACATTTACCAGGCCATCAGTTGAACCTGAGACTAACATGTTCGGATTGTTGGGGTGGAAGCACACTTGAGTGACATCATCACTATGAGTCTCTGAATACGCTCCAAGTGGGTCTTTAGTAGTAGACAAACCCTGAGAACTAAGTCTTGCGTCCCAAAATACCAACAAGGCATCATCGTCAACTTTTTCTGTACCAGCACAAATGACATGATCATTGCAGTTGATATCAAAACTAATAAAGATATTGGAAGGGTAACCCTTGAACAGCTGGACAGGTTTTTCACCGGCTAATCGAGCATCCCAACACTTTACGGTGCCATCGCTACATGATGAATATACACTGTCACGAGAACTTGCAAATCGGACTCCACTCAGAAGTCCAGGATATCCACTAAATTCTCGTAGTACATATAACCTTTCTTTATCATATATTCTGATTGATCCATTAGAACATAAAACAGCAACCAAGTTTTCTTTTTCTGCTTGTACAGCTTTTGATGTGTCTATACCAAGCAAATAAGTAGGCTCTTTAGTTTCCGAGGAACGTTTAACAATACTCAGATTAGCAAATTGTTCCTCGATCTTCTCCATGTCAAGAGTAGCATCCAAGCGTAGTAAAAATCTGTAATAGAAATACAAAAATTAAAATTAAATGCAAATCTTCTCCAAAATTATAATCAAGTCAAGAACACTTTCCTCTGAGGACTGGCACAAAATAACAGAAATAAAGTCTATTCTAATATTTTAATCTTTCCCTGCCATGATATAACTAGAACTTGGTTGCATCCCTCTAATTCAATCACTCTTGAATACTCAATCTACCATATATACCTTATGTCAGTAAGAGAATTTTAAAACATGTACATATACTGCTCAGTAGTTCCTTTTAGCTTACACCCAACCTTTGGTCCAACTCATAATTCTCAGCATTAGCCAGAATGCTGGCTTCTCCTGGCCCCAGCTGCCTGAGGCAACTTTTAGAATTTAAACGCAGGTGGATGGGTGAGCCGGGTGGTAGGTATTAATGAGGGCACATACTGCATAGGGCCCTGGGTATTATATGTAAACAATGAATCTTGGAACACTACATCAAAAATTAATGATGTATTGTATGGTGACTAACTTCACATTAAAAAACAAAAGAATTTAAACATAGATGTACAGATGTGCAGAAAAATGGTCCCCCAAGATATCTATGCCTTAATGCTTGGAACCTGCGAATGTTAGGTTACATGGCAAAGAAGAATTGAGGTAGCTGATCATTTGATCTTTAAAAAAAAATTTCTATTATTGATGTATAGTCGACACACGTTACATTAATTTCAGGTGTACAACATAGTGATTCCCCAAGTCTGTGTTATATTATTCTCATCGCAAGTGTAGCTACCATCTGTCACCATACAATACTATCAGAATATCACTGACTACATTCCCTATGCTGTACTTTTTACCTCTATCATTTATTCATTCCATAACTGGAAGCCTGTATTTCCCACTCCCCTCCATCCATTTTGCCCATCCCCCCACATCCCTCCCCTCTGGCAGCCAAGAGTTTGTTCTGTATATTTATGTGTCTGTATCAGCTTTTTATTTTTCAAGTGCCACATCTAAGGGAAATCGAACGGTATTTGTCTTTCTCTGTGTGACCTATTTCACTTAGCATAATACCCTCTAGGTCCATCCATGTTGTCATGAATGACAAGATCTCATTTTTTTTTTTTTTGTGGCTGAGTAATAGTCCTCTGTGTGTGTGTGTGTGTGTGTGTGTGTGTGTGTGTTTGTGTGTACATGGACTCTTTATCCATTTATTTATTCACGAACACTTATTTGCTTCTGTATCTTGGCTATTGTAAATAATGCCGTAACAAACATAGGGGTGCATGTATCTTTTTGAATGAAGTGTTTTCATTTTCTTCGAATAAATACCCAGTAATAGAATTACTGGGTCATATTGTACTTCTATTTTTAATTTTTCAAGGAACTTCCATACTATTTCCTACAGTGGCTGTACCAATTTACATTCTCACAAGCTGTGCATGAGGGTTCCTTTTTCTCCATATCCTCACCAACACTTGTTATTCCTTGTCTTTTTGACTCTGGCCATTCTGGCAGATTTAAGGTAATAGCTCATTGTGGTTTTTGATCATCCCTGATGATGAGTGATACTGAACACCTTTTCCTGTATCTGTTTGCCATCTGTATGTCTTCACAAAAATGCCTACTCAGGTCCTCTGCCCACCTTAATTGGATTATTGGGGTTTTGTGTCGAGTTGTGCTTATCAGTTGATCTTAAAATAGGGAGATTATTCAGATTATCTGGCTGGGTCCAGTGTAATCACCATTGTTCTTAAAAGTAGGAGGAGGCAGAACATGATATGAGTCAGAGAGAGTTATTACTATGGAAGAAGGGCACAGAAAAATATATTGTTGGTTTGGGGGAAGAAGGTCTTTAAGTGGGTGGCCTGTAGAAACTGGAAAAGGCAAAGAATCTTCCCCATTTAGATTCTCCAGATGGAAATGCAGCCCTGCCAACACCTTGATTTTCACCCAGTGAGACCTATTTTGGACTTTTGACCCCTCAGAATTGTAATAAATTTGTATTTTTTTCAAGCCACCAAGTTTGTAGTAATCTGTTATATCAACAATAGGAAACTAATACATAGGGGTTCCCAATATGAAATTCTGGAGAAGTGCTTCTCAGGCAGTAGTAACTTATAAATGATGGAGCTGGATGTGACCCTAGGCATTCTGGCTTCAAGGACTGTGCTATTCACCACCACACCATATTGCCCTCCATTTTTTTTCTCTTAAAATATTTCATTTTGGGGGCTCCTGGGTGGCTCAGTGGATTTAGCATCTGCCTTCAACTCCGGTCATGATCCCAGGGTCCTGGGATCAAGTCCCACATTGGTCTCTCAGCTCAGCAGCAGCCTGCTTCTCCCTCTCCCTCTGCCCGCCGCTCCCCCTGCTTGTGCTTTCTCTCTCTCTGTCAAATAAATAAAATCTTAAAAAAATTTTTTTTTTAATTTTTAAGGAATCTCTACACCCTAGGTGGGGCTTGAACTTAGAAGTTCCTTAATGGTAGAACAAGTTCAAGGCCAGAAAAACTTGCATGCCTAGTGACTTTATCACAAATTTCCTATCTTGCTTTTACCAAATAAATAGTCTACCTCACAAATTCACTTTTTCATTCTTATGATGAAATGGTTTTTTTGTTGTTGCTTTAATGATATCTTTTTAACCGTCTGTCTTTTCATCTTTAAAAGAAGAAATGAGTACCAACTCAAGAGTTGTTAGAAGAATCAACTAAAATAATGTGTTCAGCACAACACCTGGCAAATAAAATACATATTCAACAGATGTTATATAAAAATTATCAGTATTACCACTACCAATACCACTAACACTATATTGGAGGCAGGGTGAGTTTGGATCTAGGTATTGTTACTCAGACTTCAGTGTCACCTGCCTAGAAAGATCCTCCCTAGTCAACCAATCTAAAATAGTCCCTGTTACTTCCTATCATATTGCTTGTTTTTATCAATTTAAAAATTAAAAATGCCTAATTATAAAATATTTCAAATATACAAAGCTTAGAAAAAAGTGTAACAGACACCCAAATATAGACAGATACTCAGATTTAACAGATGTTAACATTTTACCATACTTGTTTGTTTTTTATTTAAAGAAACATTACAGACACAACTGCCCTGAATTTATAACATGGCATTGCATTTGTATGTCTTTGCATTTGCTCTTTTCACTCAGTATTTTTGAAAAACCCTATTTTGCTGTTGAAGTTCTTATTCTTTCTTACTTATCTAGTATCGATAAATAATTGTTGAATAAATGAATAATTGATTCAACTTTCTTGCTCTTGTTCTAGGAGAAACAGAATAAACCTAAAAGGATATTGTATGTGTTATGTGTTTGCAGGGGGAGCTCTGCTCATGGAAATTAGTAAAATTAGTAAAAAGGGATTCTTTAACAGTACTTTAAATAGGGCATGAAAAGGAACTACAGAGAAAGATTTTATATTGTAAAGAAAAATATTATTTAACTTTTTTTTTTTTTAACCACAAGCTATTCAAATTATTCTTCAAATGTGTATTTACTTAAGAGTACTTTCTAGGGGCACCTGTGTGGCTCAGCTGGTTAAGTGTTGGCCTTTAGCTCAGGTCATGATCTCAGGGTCCTGGGATTGGGCCCCACACTGGGCTCTCTGCTTAGCGGGGAATCTGTTCCCCCCACCCCCCCCCAACCCCCACCTGTCTCCCTGCCTACTTGTGATCTCTCTGTCAGAAAATAAATAAAATCTTAAAAAAAAAAGTGTATTTCCTATACCCTCCAAGGAGAAACCCTTTTAAAATTCCAGATAAAAACTATCCATTTTTGAAATATTCCAAGAATTAATATGAGGTTATAAAATAAATAATTTTTTCTACTGCTTCATTTTGATTTTTGCATATGAAAGGTCAGGTTGATGGAAATTTTAAACAATCAAGTTTAATGTGGCTTTTAAGCTAATAGTAATTTGTAGGACTATGACCATGCACTCAAGCAGGATAGTAGTACAGAACTCCCTCCCTCCACTACATTGCCTAGAGAGTCTGTTTCATATTGGAACAGTACCCTGAATGATTTCAATTCAAAGGATTCTAGGGGTTGATGGGTCAGGAAGGGTAGGCCGCAGACTGAATGCTACAGCAAACTTAACACTTCAAGACTGTGGAGATGGGGGCACCGGGGTGGCTCAGTCGGCTAAGTGTCTGCCTTCAGCTGTCATTGTCCCAGGGTCCTGGGATCAAGCCCTACATCAGGCTCCTTGCTCAGCAGGGAGTCTGCTTCTCCCTCTTCTACTCCCTGTGCTTGTGTTCCCTCTCTTGCTGTGTCTCTCTCTTTCTGTCAAATAAGTAAATAAATAAATCTATCTTAAAAAAAAAAAAAAGATTGTAGAGATGGTAACAATCACAGTGGTTGTCCACTTGACACACTATTCAAATGCAATATAGTTTCTCAAGAAAGAAGAACTAAAGGATGGATGTATGGGTGGATGGATGGATGGATGGAAGGAAGGAAAGGGAGAGAGAGAGAAAAAACAAAAAGGAAGAAGGGTATTAGAGGTAAAGTAGGTCTATCTCACAAAGCCCTCAAGCTATAGAGCTTAGAGAGTACACAGATACAGTGAAATAATTTGAACTCTTACAGAGAAACATGAAAACCTCTAGCTTATGTTTTAACACATTAATATGCAAGTGAGTCATACTTGAAATATAGCCTTCCTAGGCTATGTAGTTAATTCTTAATTTTACATGCTAATGAATCATTCCAAGATGATAAATACTTTTTCTTCTATGCACAGCCTTTATCTGCATTTTCTTTGCATGATCCACCTCCAGTCCTGAAGAGAAGCCATAGGCTCTTTTCATCTCACACTACACTCTCACAGGGTGACTTCATTCACGTTGACGTGCCATCTATATGCCAATGATCTCATCCATTTACAGATCTGTATTTCCAACCATCTACTGGCCATTTCTTTTTGGATGTGTCCCACTACCCCCCAAAATAAAAGTGATCATTTATGTTTCTCTCCTCCCCCACCAAATCTTCCCTTTAAAA